GGATTGAGCTTCAGTTTATTGGCCCTCATCCAGCCCATTACCTCAGCCAGGCACCGGTTCAGCACAGCCATTGCCTCACCTGGATTGGTGGAAAACGAGAGGTAGAGCTGGGTATCATCAGCGTACTGATGATTCTGCAGCCCACACCTCCTGATGACCTCTCCCAGTGGTTTCATGTAGATATTAAACAGCAAAGGGGACAAAATGGACTCCTGCGGTACTCCATGGCATAGCTGCCATGATGCAGAGCCATAGTCCCCCAGCACCACCTTCTGGAACCGGCCATTGAGATAGGAGCGGAACCACTGCAAAGCAATGCCTCCAACCCCCAATCCCGCTAGCCTATCCAGAAGGATACCATGGTCGATGGTATCGAAAGCCGCTGAGTGGTCCAGAAGAACCAACAGGGACGCACTCCCCCTCTCCTTCTCCCTGCACAGGTCATCGTACAGGGCGACCAAGGCAGATTCAGTACCGCAGTACTGATTAGGGGCTTGCAGAGGAGAATCTCTTTGAAGTGGTCTTACACCCAATCCTATGCATGGCTATCAAGAGGTATGTCAAATGAATTTAGGTGGGGCTTATATCTTTCAAACACTTAACAACTGCATTATCTCCTCTATTTTTAAAAGAGGAGGCTGAGGAATGCACCATAAAGTGAAATAGCAAATTATCAGAGAACAATGGACTCTGTCTAAAACAACTAGAAGGTTGTACTTTTATTTGAGTGAACCTAACCAGGCATGGCAGGACTTACTCCTGAATAAACATGCATAGGATTTAACTGTAAGAATTTTCTTGAAGATCAATGGATTTTTTTTACAATAAACTTTATAATCATCTCACACATACCATGCTTGAATCCTGCTAATGTAAATATAAAGATATAATTGTAGCCACCCCTAGCTTATATTTTATAGTTATAACAATTATATTTCACTGTTATATGCAGCTCCTGCAACTCAAAGGAATATGAGAACTACTCCTACCCACACTCTCTCTTCTAGGACTGAGACTACAACAACTTTTCCAGTCATTTCCAAGTCTTCTTTAAATGGGCTTCTCTGTTCCAATTCCACATGGCATCACAATAGTGTCATATTAGGGCAAGTATAATCCATTTTAATGGTAATTTGTTATAGAAACCAAATTATTTTGTTTCTAAGTAAATATTTTACTTATGCTTCAATGGACAGATCAAAAAACATCACTAGCTCATGCCATATTACCAGGGAAGGGAGTGAGACAGCTTAAAAAACGTTAGACAGTTTGGGGTTGGTAAAGAGAGGGATATCCTGATTTGGTTTGAAAATGACATCAATTAAGTTCTCTCTGAATCATCAGTGCAAGTTAAAGATACAGTAACAGAAAATACGGACAGGTTAGCCTTAGGGATGAAGGACAAATTATACAGAAGCTTCAATGTGTCACTTTAAGCTATGTAAATATTTTTCCAAATGCAAATAGCAGCTGTGGATGCGAATGGAGAACAGGGAGGGATAGTTTGACTTTTTCTCCTCCCCAACTCCCTACCCTGCTCATACACACTTCCCAACATGATCAGCTTCCTCTGCTGTTTGCATTTATCATTTATCAAAGAATGCAAGCAAAATCTATGCTGGTTCCCTAATAGTCACTTTATGTTATTTACAGCATTGGTGTGAAATTGCCTCCTGTGGGAGGCAATTCTTGATTATGAGCTGTAGGGCCATGGAATTTGATTCTTTTCCCAATAAGTAACCAATGAACCAGGCCAATCCTCTCCTGTGCCCCTTTCCTGTGCATCGGTCATGGGGAGAGTAATAACTCATCTTACCTATTTTGAAACCTTTCTGTTCACATTGATAAATTTGTTTGGCAAGTGTACTTGCCCGGACTATATTTTAGAAGTGAATATTTATTTGCTCTGTTCTAGTATGCCAAGTCTCTCTGAGCCCTAACAAAGACACCCTTATAATTTAAGATAAAGCTTCCAGGAAAGGTATAACAGCCTCACAATCAAGGTTATATAATGGTGATAATTAATGCAGATAGAGTTCGTTTCTCTTCCCTTTCCAAGATATAAAAATAAACAAACAGCAGAGATTGAACTATTTTGACATGTGGTGTGTGTGAGCATAATAAAAAACCCCAGTAAGGGTGTGATCTTATGCATGTTTAGATCAAATAATAAAAAATAAGCAAACATCTACAGCTTACTAGATTCCTCAGCCAGTCTTTCTCCAGCTTAATTTCTTGAAAATGGGCGAGACCTAGATTGTAACCCCTCTTTTCCTTTTCTTTTTTATTTTTAAATAAAATCTCTTGGAACAATGATTCAGGACATTCCCCCAACCCCTTTCTCCTTAGGTTGACAAGCAGTCCATGGGGCATTCTACGTTGGGTGATCCTGGCTATTCTCGTGGCTTCTTTCATTGCGATTCATTCAAACACAACACAGAAAAACTGGTGAGTTTCCTTAAACAAAAAGGCACACATCTTTTTAATTACATTTCTCGATTTTCAAATCATGGTCAGATTATCAGTGGTGCTGGTGGCAGCTACTCTGGGCTCAGTTCCCAAGGGGCCTCCTTGACAGCCCAGCAAGCTCAGAAAACCCACTTCCCGCCCCTGCCTCATGTGCCCTATGCCGGTTGTCCCGCATTGACTTACTCCTATTACCTTTCTGCCTCTAGCACTGTTGTCCTGAGAGAATAAGCCCACGGAAATTAGAGAGCAAACAAGGGCACTGCTAATGGTCAACCAGCTGAGCCAGTGGATACTAGGGGAAAGGTCCTGGACTGAGCGGGGGATCCATTTTTATTATGGATACTTTTGTTTCAGTTACCTGCATTTCAGATTAGATGGTCAGAGTAGGTGGAAGTAAAACATCCAAAGACTGTGTGTGTTCTGTAGGTAAGACATTTTGCCTTTAAAGTATTTGCTCTTTATTCATTACATGCCTGTTTCATCTTTCTTCTGCATTTTATACTCACCTCTATCCTGTGAGGTACATTAGGCTGAGAGTCAGTAATCAGACCAAAGTCATCCAATGAGTTTCAAGGTTAGTGGGTACTTGAACTCAGATCTCCATTCTAACACTCTAACCACTATATTGCACTGGCTTACAACATCCACATTTTTGTAGGGGGATTTAAGGTAGCTGAGGCTTAATTTAATGGACTTTAAAGTGTGGACTTGGAAGTTGAAGTCAACTAGAGAGGACAGATTTTATGTCTCTATTGGTTTGGCAGGTGTTGGTCAGTGTCAATTTCTAGAAAAGGTACTAATTGGATCTATGTGTTAATTGTTCTGAAGTATTATGAGAGCTGATAAGTAGCAAAAGCTCATTTATTTGAGGAGCTTATTGAAGAAGGAGTATTGGGCATCTGGTCAGCATTATGGAAGCAGAATGCTGGACTGGAGAAGCCTTTGGTTTGATCCAGTATGGCTCTCATATTCTTAATAGGATACTGCTTCTTGGTTCCCATTTTAAGGGATGTAATAAACGGAATGAACGAACTGAATGCCTCTGAGGAACAACAGGAAATCTCTGAAGATTTCTATGAAATACTGGGAATGTGAAGTGATACTAATTTCACAACAGAACCAAGTAGAACTCAAGCTACATAGGTGCAGCGTACAGAGCTACAGAGAGAATAAGAAGCAGATCTGGAGGATCTAACAGTTAATACAATAGACCAGAAAGAACAATACACACCATTTTATTTCTATCCAGTTGATCTAATACAGGTGTGGAACTGAGGGTAGGGGCATAGTCTTAAAACAATAAATTTGGGCTGGCAGGGGGGAGGGGGAGACCAGCTTCAGTTGACTCATCCAGAAGAGTTATTCTCCATGTTACAGGGGAAATGAGCTGACTGGAATCCCTTCCAATCTACTATAGGATAATCAGAATCTAAAAATACCATTACCCCCTGACATCCACAAAAACATAAGAGTTTAGCGCTTCCAAAATGTTCAGAAAATATTAGTGCTTTCATTGTGCTTTAGATGGATTTTCTTGTGAGAAAGTTTATTATTATGCTATCTGGTACAGAATGAGAACTGAGATCTACCCAGTAACCCAAACTGCAGTGTCACCCAGGCTTCTGAGACTTCAGTTTTAGGAATACTGCATCTCTCAGTATTCAAAGCACAAATACATAGTAACTAGGAACTTGCAACTAATTTTCAGTTAGCTAGTCATTTTGGACTGGTGGGTGGACCTGTGGTCACATAATCAGTGCACAGCAGGAAGAGGCAGACTTCAGGATTGCAAGATCTACTTTTGTTTTTTATAAGCTGAAACCTGAGACAAACTGGGCCCCTTTGGACCATTTCTGGTACTTCCTGAGGCAAAGTAGGCTTCTCTCTGAAGTGACCAGAACCAAAGCTTGGACCCTGCCAGACATATGGGGCTTCTTGGCTTAGGAAAGGTAGATAGTGTTTCCAAGACAGCGACTTTCACTTTTCTTTCTCTGCATGGTGGTGGGAGGGAGGGTATAGGGTCAAGTGGAGACATTTTACCAGGGGTTGTCCAATCACTATGCTCTGGGGGCAGGCCCAGGTGGGATTGTAGGCTGGCCATTCTTCCAGTGCTACAAGGCTTCACTATGAAAAAGCCTTAAACTGGGTTCAATATTCATAGTGCTTTAGTTCCTGACATCCTTCTGATGCTTTGCAGGCTTATTGCCTGGTAACATCTCTGTGACATGTGCTGTGCTTATATAAACTGTCTCCAAAAAATAAAAGAAAAAAGAGTATGGGGAAGGGAGAAAGGGTAAAGAAAATTGCCCCCTGCCTATAATTTTGAGGACTCTCCTTCCACATGAACCACTGAACCCATCCTTCTGAATTGTGCAGGTTTCTTACTTAAGGCTGCAAGGCTGTCCATCAGGCTGTTTCTTATTCAAGGCTGTCCATCATTTCAGAAAAATGCTTGACAAGGAACATAAGAGGATAAATGTGCCCTTTTCTGTAAAGGCTGTTCTTGCACAAAAGCATGGCTATCATTCTAAAACTTATCAGGTTTGGTCCCCTCAAAGGAGACAACAATCATGACAATATTCAACCGATTCTTTCAAGAAATTAAAGATATTGGAAAAAATCAGAATATAACAGTGGATAACACAAACAATACTGCACCTATTTTTTCTGAAATTTGGCAAACAGTATTACCTCTGAAGGGGAATTCAGAGAACGTTGGCTATTGGGTGGCATAGAAATGAAATTAATAACAACATTTTAGAACAACAACATTAATAACAAATTAATATTTTTAACAACATCAATAGTAACAAATTAACGACAACAACAATAATGCATGTTCGACAAAACAGAAAAAATTATAGCTGTTATTTAATTTCCCATACTCAATTGGAAGCACAAAGCTTTAGATTTCCAAATCTCAACTCAAGTTTCATAGCCAGGTCATAATGGATAGGCGCCAAATCAGTCCAAGAACAATCTGTCCATTTTCTGAAGCACTGAATTGGGGTCAAGGCAAATTTTGTGGTCACTGCATGCCTTTACTTTTTTTAGTGGAGTCCTGTGGTCCATGAACCAGAGAAACAGTAGCTAAGGTGGGTAGACATATCCTAACCATTCAAGAACAGGGTGCTTCTCAGCATATGTTTAGCTTAGCAACTTGTGCTCAGTACCAGAACCAAGCTGACAAGTCTCTTTATACAAAAATCCACATCTGGATTTTCACCAAGTATTTTTTTTCAGCAATCTAGATGGAGAAGGGTTTTCAATAGATACTTTTGTTAGACAATTGCCAAAGGAAGGAAGGAAGGAAGGAAGGAAGGAAGGAAGGAAGGAAGGAAGGACTTTACTGCACCAATCTGCTACAGATTACTTGGAGCTCAGCAGTAGATAGCTATCTACCTGCTTCTCATTCCTTACCTAAACACTGATAGTTAGCAATAGAATCCCCACCAGAACAGTTTCACTGTTGTTAATTTCTGCTTCACTTTCTTTTTTACTTATTTGCAGGTTGCATGCTCCCCCTGCTGTACAACTTTAGCACAGGAACTCTCTCCAGACCCATTTTCTTTAAAGCAGCAAATTCCAGAAGTGCTTCTTGTATTAAGAGTGAGAGATCAGGCATCATTCTGTCCTGTTCCAGTCTGAAGATTCTCCTAAAATTAAAGAAAGGTAGTCGCTGGAAATTTGAGCAAGCAGCACCAAATGGTAATAAATTACTCCCCTAGAAAGGTGCTTTATCAAGATTTCATTGCACTGAGGTTTACGGAAACAAGATTATGGCGTTCCCATTTACCAGCCAAAGAGGCAAGATCATTGGGAGGTTGCATCCCATGTCCTGGGAAATGTGTGAGAAGAAGGCCAGCCTGGACTAAGAATGGACAAAAGAACAAGGTCCAAGATCTCTAGGATTCTCCTAATATTGTTTTGCTGTTTGTCTTATACCCCGATTCCTGTTTCTGATCATTGCCTACTTTGCTTGAATGGGGAAATGTGCAAATACAGTAGCGATCGAATGAAGGATTTATGCAAATCTCTCAAACTTAGCAAAAATCTCCTAATTTATGCAAATTTCCTCCATAGACTAAACCAGGACTGATTCGATCTCCTGAGGAAATTGGTGCAAAATAAACTGGGACTTAGGAATGAGACAAATATGAGCACATGTACATAAATTTGTTAATATTTTCTGTAGTCATATGCCCATGTCCAGGATTTCAGACACGGCATGCTTGCATGTTTTGCGAGCAAAACCAAAATCCACATAATGCCCTAGCCAGGGCCCTAGTCACTGAACAACGAAGGCACTCCCAACCAGAAAGTGCATTTGCCTCCGGGCTGCCAGATGCCCTGGAAGTTATCTTATAAAAACTCTGGCTTTATCAGCCAGGGGACAAAGGGTTCTGTGTGGAGAGTGTGTGTTCTGCATTATTACAGTCCACTATATGTTTCTCTGGAGCTATTCTGGACAAGAGGCAAGGAGGAAATCTTTGAAATAAGGATAAGATTTGCAAGGTCAAGGTAATGGGGAAGTGATGGAATTCTGACACTGCACTAGATGTGCTGATGAAGGGAGAATGGTCTCTGGACCCAATCTACTCAAATGCTAAGCTACAAGGTGAACATTAACTTTACTTACCCAACCACCTTGCTTTTCAATATAGTTTCTTACTTCTGGGTTTTCATTAATTGTCTGTGTGAATAATTCTGTCTTATTCCGCAACGAAGGAGCTCTTTGTGCAAGGCAAATAAACAACTTCACAGTAACAACCAGGAAAGCTCTTTCATACTCCAGCCCTTGAGAACGACTCCAGGTCTTGCTAAGAGAGTCTGCCATTTCTCTGAATTTCATCTGTGAACATAAGAGCAGGAATTTCTAAAATCACAGTCTGCTATAAAAGACAAAGGGAAAGCAACTGAGGTGCACCAAAAAGTTTTGGTATAGAGGCCCTGATGTTCAACAGGCCAGAAGTCCATTTTGCCATATATTATGTACTGAAGTTGCTTTTCGTAGCCATGGTTCTCCAGATACTCTCATAGGGGTCCAGGTTTAACCCTAGATCCAATGAGCTGTATGCATCTGACTAGATCAGATTACCAAGAAGGCTGCAGGGCAGCCACCTGCATCTGTCCATGACTCCTTGTAGTTGGTGCTGAGAACAGTAGGCTTCTCATGGACATTTAGCACTGGAGACTGCTCTCTCAGCCTGCCGCTCTGAACCAGCCACATGTGTTCAGTCACTAATCTGTTACTCAAAATGAGATTAGAAAATGTATAGATTCTAACAGAAAGCCAAGTTTCTGTATCTAGCTCTCCCAAGTGCTGCTAGATCCACAGATCGTAATAGCAGGGGAAAAGATGGGATCTACTTAGCGAATTCATTGTTTGTGCTTGGGCCTCAACACAGAACAATTTCCTAACAGCAGCCCTTTTGACAGGCTATGCCATATATAAGAATCTGGGCCTTATGATTAGTCAGCAGATCAAGAGTTCCTGTTGTGTCAGTGGTGTCCAGATTGGGCTGCAGCTTCTGCAGGTGTTTCCTCTCTGTCATCCCTTCTTTTAGTCTTTCTCACAGTGCTGGACAGTTTACTTTCTGATGAACTATATTTCAGCTTCCAGTGTGGCACTATTCCACCTATGCAGTCTATGTTCCTTGGCCTGTTGTCTTTATTATTTTTTAAATTTTTCATATGGTATCCACTTTTCAAGGTGGCTTACAAAAAACTATAACTTTTTTTCTTCTCTAGCACAGAAGAAAACAAATATGAGGGAACATGTAAGAAGAGCTGCAGACATTTCATAAATCTAAAGCACTGTAAGAGTATCGGGCAATACACAGAACATAATATAGCAGTAAATGCAAGTTACCCCAGCCTTTCCTCCAGCTTTTGTTTCTGGGATTGTCTTCAATGGCTTTTTGTCAGCCAAAGCCTACCTTAGGCTTCTGAGCTATTGATATCAGAGGTGAAGCCCTTATTTCAGCCCATGGGCCAAATTCCATTTCAGAAAAGCTTTTTTTTTTTTTTTTTTTGGAGGGGGGAGGTCACAGTCCAGTAGTGTGCAAGACTGAACACAAGAAGGCAGGACCAAGGTACTGGAAATACCTGCATATTTTAGGTTAGAGCTCCTACTGCCGGAAACAAAGAGGCATTCTCATTTTTTAAGAATGGGGGGCAGGGGAACTGTGCAAAAGCTAGGAGGGAGCCAAATATATTTTGACCACAGAAAGTGCCATCTGAGAAAACCCAGATGACACAGATTGGATACCAGGTGAGCAAGATTTGCTCCCTGGGCCTGAGGTTCTGCATCCCTTTTCATATATTTAAGATGTGACATTGGGGCACAACTCAATGAGATTGTGGGAAGTCTCCACCAGGCTCTTGAGATTGTCACTTTTTGTTTTTAAAAATCCAGGCCCCATGAGCAGAGCAATTGTAAGCACTGCATTTCAACAACAACAACAAACCTGCACTCACTCAATAAACAGCACTAGTTCGGGATTTGTCTTGAGAATCAGCAGTAAGCAAAATGAAGAGCAAAAACTGGCAACCAAATGAACAATACAGTGTTTGGCACCGAACTTCTTCCTTGCCCCTTCCTTTCTTTTCCTTCTCTGCTTCCTTCTCTCTCCGCATCATGAGCAAGAGTTACCTTTTGCTATGACACATGTGTCTCCTAGCAGTTCTCCACTCAAATTTAACATGCAAGTTTTGCACAAAAGACAGCAATCTGTAAAAATAGCTCTAGTGTCAGGGACCTCCTGGCCTGGCGGTACACCCAACCCTAAGTTGCTATCATGACTTGTCACAATAGTCCAATAAAAACTTGGTGTGGATCCTGTCCTGGATAAGACTTTTCTATTGAAGAGCCAATGTGGTTCCTCAGCCCTAGTGCGAAGGGAGCATGCATACAATGTTGGATAAGTTTTGTTGAAAATTGAGTATAACTGACATATTCAAATTTACATAGTCATATTTTTGATAATTTTACTCTCTTTTTTGTATGGTTTTGTTTTGTTGAAATATATAATAAACATGTTTTAAACATCGGAAGCAGTTTTCTTTTCTGGCACACCTAAACCAGTCACTTCATACCTGCAAGTTCATGACAACATAGATTGGAAACATTTTGGCTAGAGAACTTAGGAGACTGCAATTACCACTTCCTTGTTTTTTTCCGCAATGATCATCTGTACTGGCTTCTCCAAGTCTTCATTATACTGGTCTCCTAGTCTTTGCAGTGTCTTGGCAATAACTTCTGGGTTAAAAGTGGTGGCAGTTTTCTCTGCAACTTAAAAGAAAGTAAATACAGTCTGGACTATAGTTCCCACCTGTATGCAAAAGCTTCTACATTCAAATTCCAGGGCTTAAAGGTCTTATTTATATCTGGAACAGATACGAGGTACAGATACAATCAGAACAGCAATCCTTCAGAAGGACAGAGAGGTGCACAGAGGAAGCAGGTGAGGGAGACAGAAGTTTGTACAACTCTTGGCTTTCTAAATAGCATTAGAGAAATTTTTACATTGTTTTTTAGGCAGGCAGCTGTAGCATCAAAATCCATCCCAGCAAGCTTTCAAAACAACTTATTTAGGGTGCAATCTGATGAGGAAAAAAAGGGGTTCTCTCTCAGGCTGTTTTTGTTGTTGTTGTTCAAACATGTAGAGGACTGCATCCTACAAAATAGTCCAGTTTGCAGTCTTTCCACAAACTATCAATCACACCTTGGTTTGTTAAGTATCTTTTTAAACAAACCGTAACTGCCTTTTCCTCCTTTTCCCTAAAAAGTCATCATCATCATCAGAAAGCGCCTTGGTGTGTGACATTTTGCAGATGGCCATCTTGTGACAAAGAGGATCTTATTTATATTGACAACTTCTTTTATTTCTCCCCGCAGAAATATAAAATCACCTACTGTGAGGCTGTTTGTGTGTCTGTTGAATATTTTTTAAAATCTGCTTTTGTGTATGATGACGTATAATTTTTTGCCGTTCTGTTTTTTTAGCTTATGGCCATTAAGTATGTTTTATTATGTTATTTTTGTATACTTATAATGTATATTTGTATTCTTTATATTATGGTTTTTATTACTTGGTTTGATTTATTCAATTTGTATGTTGCCCCTAGCCCATAGGGCTCTCTGGGTGGCTTTCAACAAGACAAGTTACAAAATAAGGTTACTTAATACAATAATGCAATATATAATATTAAACAATGAAATAACACTATACCCCCCTCACACCCCCACACCACCAGCACAAATTAACTAAGAAAACACAATCAGCACAGCACAGCCCTGCCTCAGCATCTACACCACAACACAGTAGGCTAGTCCAAACTTCAGCTGCTGCCTAAGCATCCATGGGAAAAAGACCTGGTCTTCGGGGCCCTGTCCAAAGGGCAGACCCAGTGTGGCACAGCATGGCTCCCTGCTCCCATCTTTCTGAACGTGCCACTATGTTCTGTCCAGACTGCAAATGAATTTGGATGCCATCTGCAAATGAAGTATGTACATTTCTGAGTTTGTAACATGACTCACAGGCCCCAAATAAGAATGAATATATTCAAGATGGCTTTTCCTTCTCACAGGGAGTGGAAATTTATGTTATCACAAACCTGTTTTCAGTATTTTAAAAAGGAATCTTTGATATAGTTTGGAAATAAGAAAATTGATTAAATGTAAGTAATAAACTAATTACAGGGCAGATGGATAATTGCTCTAAAGTCTTTAAGGGTGCAATCCTAGAGGTTCCTGATATTGTCTGGTGGTGGGGGAAAGCATAGGATAGGTTGGTGTCACACTCCATGGTTGGAGTTGAGACATCTGCCATGGTTGTCTTCTCACCAGTTGGTCTCAGAAGATGGAAGATCTTCACAGCCAGCAGTGGGACTCGGGAGAGAATGAACCCCAGGGAGCCACAGCCTTCTTGCAAGCAGGGGAAAATGTATAAATCACCATCTAAATGCATTGAGTGAGGGGAGCACAGAGGCAACCTGTACTCCTCCCATCTTCCATTGGATGCCCATTAACTTCTAAATTTGAAAAGTTATGAAGAGTGTTGGGAAAATTTGGATGAATCCTGTCTGAAAAGCATTACTTCTGTGTGCCTTTGCCTTGTGGGATCAAATCCTGTGCTCCTTCTCAAAACCAAGCTGTCACTGTTTAAAATGGCATTCCTCCGCTCCTTTCTCTCACCTTTAGCTGTGGGCTACAGGCCATTCAGTCCAAATATACATTGTAAATAGTCATTGTTGGAATTCAAGGAAGTATCTTCCTAGCCCAGAGGCTCCATGTGCCCTGGCCAATTCAGAATGTCTAGAGTAGATAGGAGTCTTGAGTTCATGCATAGTTTCAGTAGCTTGAATTTATATGTCTAAGTAGACCTGGAGCTGGGTTCAAGCTACTGAACTAAAGTGTCAATACAGGCAATTAGAAATATTATAATCTCATTGTTATAGTGTGATTGACTGACATTTCTTTATCTGTTCTGTATGTAATAACCTCAGAATCTTATTGTAATCTCTGCATTCTGTCATCACTTGCCCTGTACCTGTATGTGACTGGAAGTGTATAAAAACTTTCTAGTTGTGTTGAAGTTTTGCAGCAGAGTTCATCTCTGCCTGCCCAGTAATGCATGCATTATTGTGAGTACCGCGGGAACCTTGGGGTAACTACAATAAAGCCTCAGATGGTCTGGACACTTGGTCTTTCCCACGAACCCGAGTTTTATTCCCTCTTCTCAAACTGAGATTCTGGGTTTCTGACAAAAGCAACATTGGCTAATCCCCTAAATTAGCAGGCAGCTCCAGTGTCTACACAATATGATGTAATGAACATTTCTAACATATCCTTAGGTTCTAACAAAATCTTTGAACAATTCTACCAAGCCAAGCAAACATTTTACAACTCTTCAGGGGAAAAAGGCCACAACAATATATTTTTCTAGACTTTCATAGAAGCAATCATACCTGCATCACACTCCAGTTCTGACCCAGCACTTAGCTCAAGACTACGACAACCATTTTGTGAGTCCTCAGAGATATCAAAAAGTAATGCTTTCACAATTTGTTCAGTTTGTTCTTCAAAGGTCATCGAGTTTTTCATCTTCGCAGTGTCTATCAGAACACAAAGTTGTCGTCACACTTTCCCAGTTGTTCCTTCTATGGGCAAAGCAAGCCTTTACCAGGTTCCGTCAGAAAATGTGAAATGTTCAACTTTACTCAGTTGAAACTTCAGTTTACTCAAGGAGGTTTAGCTTTATTCGATTTGCAGCTACACCCACTGTATCAGAGGCAAGTAATAAAAGACACTTGTTTGCTTACACTTCCTGTTCCCTATCTGCAGGAACAGTAACTGAACTTTCAGTGGGGTTGTTTACAAAGGGAGGAACTATAATGGAGCAACTGAATATTTTGCTATCTTGATTGCATCATGTTATCTGTTTTGCAGCTTTACAGTATATTGCAACCATTTCTCTGAAATGAAGAAGTCTTATATTCTAAATATATTCTAAATATATCATCAAGACTGTTTTCAACTTTGAGATCTTTTGCAACCAAAAACTTAAGTATTTGGATACGGCAAACGGAAAGGAATAAAGGATAGATGCCTGTCTTTCAATATGCCAAATAAATCTTTTCACCATGTCCAACGAAGTGGGGAATGGGGGAAGCTCAATTGTTATTTTTAAACCTTTGTTGTTCAGTATTCTCTGAAGTTATCATTCCCTAATGTCTTCTTTTAAAAAAATGTATGTAGCAGAACTACTACTGAACCTAGGTTGGCAGATTTTAATGCCTACTCGTGAGTAATTTATTCCTCAGAATTGAACAAAGATACTCTTCTATGAATGTCTCTTTCTAATAGATTATATATTGTATTCATATTCATGGATCACTGCCTTGTTGTGGCGAATGGGCTTGCGTAGCGCAATGAAGCTATGAGCTATGCTGTGCGTGGCCACCCAAGACGGACAGGTCATAGCAGAGAGCTCTGACAAAACGTGATCCACTGGAGAAGGAAATGGCAACCCACTCCAGTATCTTTGCCATGAAAACCCCATGGACAGTACCAAAAGGCAAAAAGATATGATGCTGGAAGATGAGCCCCTCAGGTCAGAAGGTGTCCAATATGCTACTGGGGAAGAGCAGAGGGCTAGTACTAGGAGCACCAGAAAGAATGTAGCGACTGGGTCAAAGCCGAAAGGACACTCAGTTGCAGATGTATCTGGTGGTGAAAGGAGAGTCCGATGCTGTAAAGATCTATACTCCATAGGAACCTGGAATG